TTTGTCAAATATAATCATTTACTAAAATATATAATTATTATAATTTAACGGGGGTGGGCGTGAGCTAGCACCAGACTGTCCCTTATTTTTCATGCGTGTTTTTCTTTTTTTTTTTTTTTAGATGTTGATGATGAAACTCAGTAGAATTCATTACCCAGTGATAGAAACTTTTATTCAATCTTTCCCTCTGTTGCGTGACCATTACTCTATCAGTAATGATCAATTTGTTTAGCTTTATATAGGCTATATATATATATTTATATATTTTTTTTTCTTTTCACATAAATCACCACAATACAACTTTAGACTTGGAGACGGAAGGTTAAAATAATTCAACATTTTGTTGACACGAATAACACAATTTTAAGTCATGTTTGGCCATACTTTTTGCAGTATTCAAAACAACACAATCCTACTGACCGGTTATTTACTTAAGAGGCATTGTAAGCTTTCTACTAATAATATATATATATATATATATATATATATATATATATATATATATATATATATATATATATATATATATATATATATATATATATATATATATATATATATATATATATATAAAACAACATCAACAGTAAAATAACTGAAATATTGCAACATAATTATTAACATTTAAAATAAACTAGGTCAATTGTGGAATAATAATAAAATAAAATATTAAATTGTAATAAATTATTGTAAATCACAAAAAACATTGACTTGAAATGAAGTATTTCTAAAATCTTACTAAATGTAATTACAGTATAAGACATTTCTATTAAAAAAAACTATGAAAATAAAATAAAATATAAAGTGCTTTGACGGTATTAAATGTTTCAAAATATGACATAATATTTTTTTAAATCTAATTATAATTTATTTATATATGCCAGATACTAAATTAGTAACAACAATTAGATGTAATTATTAAAACAATAGAAAAAAGGCTAGTGATGGAAAGCTCACATTTAAGGACAGGTGTAATCTTACTCCCTTACAGGGCTATACGACACAATCATCTTTTCAGAAAGTTGACATAGTTTGGTAATACTACAAATATTAACTTACACTAACTAAAATACCAAACAGTAAAACTTAAACAGAACATGAGGTTAAAGCCACAAAGTTCAACGAGGTCACTGCCTGAGAGAAGCAATAATCTATTAATATAGTCAGGTAAACAACAGCGGTGACAAAAAAAAAAAAGTGAACCAAATCGAGTTTCATCATGTTTCACTTTTGATTCTCCAGCCCATTTCTGACACTTTCCACCCTCATCCTAAACTCGCCACATACTTACACTTACGCACGCACACACACTCGAGCGCGCGCTCGGACTGTTTTTTCCACGCGCCGTGAAACGCGCACAGCCCCCATAGCAACAGCGTCAAGTAGCGAATAGAAAGCTCAAATACTGTCTCTAGGACCCGGGTTAAAGCGCTGCAGGAAGCACCGTGAACACGTCACGACTTGAGTGGCTGTTGCCGAGTAGTTCAGCATACTTTCTCCGCACCCCTCCCTCCCTGCCTGCCTGCCTGCCTCTCCACGCCTGCCCGTCTGTTTGTTTTTGTCAGTGCCGTTGTCTGCCTTGTGTCATTATAAAACGATGTTATAGAGCCAAACATTAGGATTGAATTAGTTTCAGACAGTTTGTGAGCATGGTCTCTTTTTAAAATCAGTCCCAGCCTATCTTGTACACTTGGTGCTATAAAAACAAAACAACAATTAAAGAGGCAGCATATTATAAATAAGATATACAATTCATCTTGTCATGTTCTGCTTTTGTATTTTTTATTCATGCTCTGGGCTGACTGTCAGTGAGTGTAAACAAACTGTACTCTATCTGTTCATGTGGATCAAGGCTTCGATCAGTTTTTTCTTCATTTGTTTTTGGAAATGTTGATGCAATATTACCTAATCTTTTGTTATCGGATATCCCTGTCACATTCACATAATCATCAGACATTAGTGCCTGTAAGTTGTAATTTAAAATATTTAATGCAATAAGCAGTCCCCTAGCGACTGCATAACTTTATCAGATGTGATGAGAATATTTTGTTTTGAGATCTCAATTTTCAACAAGCAGAGCAAACTCATTTTTCTTCCAAAAAATGAGCTGAAAAGTTAAATGTGGACTCTGCTGTTTTATAGGCAGTGACTCATATTTCATTTTTCAGAGAATAAACAAAAGAATTAACGTTGGAAGGAGTTGACATTTTTTTATTGCTAACTCCTAATTAGATCTCGATCATTGATTTCTTTTGTTTTGCAGGCAGATAAGTGAGCAGTCTGGGGAATTTCCAGCCTAAACACCCCGCTCCCTTCTTTTTCTGTCCCGTGCCCTTGGTCAGAGCTCCACACCCAGTTTCTCCTCACACACACAAACACTCAGCAGCTGTTGGAATCCTTCCCTTCACTGAACTAAGACCAACTGATACAGCTGTTAGTGATACAATCCTTTTTGCTTTACTGCCTTTCTCTTTGTGTGCTTTTACCCCTTTTGAGAGTGTCTGCTAAATAACAGCTAAAATTAAAATAAATGCACAGTTATCTGCAGAAGAAATATCACTTTTACAGTCCATATATGTTGGCTTAATATGTCAAACTACCGAACAGATTTTAGCAGCAACCACTTTCATTTGAGTTGTATGTTTGTGTTAGTCTGAGCTAAGGCAGATACTGATTTTCTCTGGCGTGTGTTGGCGCCCTCAGTAAACTTATTGCATTTTATTTCCTCCGTCTTCTTAAGATGTCAAAATCTCATGTAACCTAGCCAACAGAGTAAGAAATGATCTGTTAATTTTTTCTCCCCCTCACTTATCCACAGAGTAACATACTGTCCAGATTTTACTGCCAAGTTGTTGACCTTCTTGCGGTTGGAAGTCTGTAATGACTTTGCGGACAATCTTGTTAGCCTGTTAAACCCTGTTTACCACAGAGTCGCATGCATCTTTACTGTGTCTTCTCTATCTTGAGTGTTTTCATTCGCTACAAGCTTCATTCTGCCCCACGACTGTGGGGCCAGTCACCCTGTTTTACTCCGCTTACGCCTGCTCACCTCTCCTGCCCGTCGTTCTGCCTCACAACAGCCTCCTCACCTGTCTACACCCATACAGGAAAATCTGACAAACTGATGCAGAGTGGCTTTGTGTGATTTCCCTTCCCTGTAGCATCTTTCAGGTTTCTGACATCAGCCGATATTTTTATAATTATTTTCCATCTTTTACTTCCAGCGCTGTTACAAAAAAGAATTTTATTTTATATATTTACTACATCTTAAGTAATCTTTGATGATTATTATTTTTCATTTGAAATATAAATCACCTAAAATAGTTTTCTTATTTAAAAAAAATACCAGGTCAAGACAGCATTTATTCTCTGTATGTAAGCCACTCTCAGTTCACAGATTTTTTCATTCTGTTCCCTGTCAGAGGTAAGAAGTCCAAGAAACAGGTGAAAAAAGACAAGACACCGTGGGTCATAAAAGTTTAAATGCCCGTCTGAACAGGTGGGTATACTGGCAGTGAAACACACATTCCTGCCTCTTACACCATCTTTTTTCTTCCTTTTCAAGTTTTTCTCCATATCAGCACCAGAAGATGGGGTCTTTAGAGCGATCTGTGTTCCCAGCAGCCACTGCCGTGCTCTCCTGTTCCATAAAGCCAGACAACTTAAATATTTACTTTGTCCAGAGGCGCAATCAGTGTAGGTTTACTTATACTGATAAATTAAGAATGGGTGGTTTAAAAAAAAACACATCTATTAGCTGTGAGTTTGGATCTAAGGCTACTTTTTAAAAAAAATACATTCTTGTTTTACTTGAAAATAATTCAAAATATTAATTCAAATATAGAGGAAGGGCTGACCTAATATAGAAGGACAAATGTAGTACAGCTTGATATATGGTATGTGTCTATCTCTGTGTTCATCTGGGGCATTCCCTTCCCAGTTGGAGCTCCGGATCAAATTCCTTCTACGTTACACTCAATACGCCTTTTTTAAGCTGGCTGGTCGTCATGTACATGTCTGTTTAAAAACAAGATTTTTCTTTTATTGTAATTTATGTAGTCCCAGGTTGGTCCAAATTGAACATTATTGTAAAAGCTTAATTTCCAGTCTTCATCTCAAACTGTGCGCACAGGTGCTGATGTGTCTGAGTGACTCACCCGGTGCACCTGATCTTTACCCCGCTGCCGTTATCTGTCAGCCTTTGTCACTAACACCGTCACCTGACTTCAGACATAAGCCAGCTTTTTGTTTTAATGCTTTTTATAAGCCTCTTAATGCCAGAGGGATTTGAGCTTGACCTCAGACACCCTAATGGTTTCCCATGAGTTCCTTTGGAAATACGGCAACACTGAGGAGCTCTGCTGTAGTTTAAGCCGAAACGGTTTCTTTACATGAATTCACGCTGGCTTACAATACTGTTTACTTCTAGATGAATTAATGAGGTTACAAGATTTGACTCTGATTCTCTGTAGGAAAATGGGTCAGTTTATGTAAAATTCTTTGTGAAAACAGTGACACACTGAGAGCTCCAAGAGGGCAGAATTCAGGGTTCCGGCTTCGTCAGGGCAGGTTTTTAAATTATAAAAAATACAGGACACCCAACTCTATTAACATTTTATTTTAGATGCAAACACAAATTGAATTTTAAGATTTAAAGTTAATTTCTAAAAACAAATTTTGCAGTAAATAAATATTTTTAAATGGCACAAGAACCTGCTTTTATGAATAAAGCTGAATTGTTTCTGTAAACATTTTCTTTGTTGGCTTTATTACATGCCATACTGCCACCTTGTGGTCATATATTTAACAATTATAAATGTGGCAGTATTTTTTGAAGTAAATACATTTCAAGTTTTGTTATATACATTTTTAATGGTTATATTGCTTTATCATCTAATCGCAATTATAATTATGATTTGTAAGATTATATTTGCTTTTGAAAAGCTGACAATGATCAAGGTATTTTAAAAATGAGAGCCTGAAATGAACAGAGCCACATGTATGACAGTGTAATTTATTGATCAGCTTCAGTGACCACAGATGAACATTTGTAAGCAATGAGAAAGCAGATTAAAAGTTTGTCTGGTGTCCCGGTCATAATAATATAGTTACAAGCAACCGAGTGTAAGGAAACAATAAGGTGCACGGGCATATTTACAAGCTTTCCTTCCACATTATACCCACACCAACATGCTCTTGATACCACAATAAAGGACGATAGGTCGTACTTGCATTAAAGAGCAAACATTTTTTGTCATCTAACCAAACTGGGATTCATTTATTTATTCCAAAGTTACAGTACAAATTCTCTTAGTGTAAATCTCCAGAAGAACCTTCTATATGAATACAAATAAAAACAGTCCAGTCTAAAAATTGATAAGCTGAACAAGAGAGACTTCAATCACGGGATGTTTGGAATGAAAGATTTTCAAATCACATCAGTTTTATGCAAGGAAGAGGAAATGAGTTGGTCTCCTTTTTGTTTTGCCCATTTTGTCAACTTTCTAACATTCCATTTGGTGAAAAAAGGCGGAGGCTGAGCAAGAGAAGAACGTCCAGAAAGCACAACGCTAGACCCCAAACACTTCGGATCTGTGCTCTCTAACCAAATATTTATTGTCCATGTTCTACTCTCTCTTGGACTGATTCAAACTTTATTTGGAAATTTTCTTCATCCTCTGATCCAGGGCTGCAAAGTTCTCCTCGATAGCCACCAGATTTTCCTTCATTGTCTGCTGGACCTAGAGGGTAAAAAGAGGAAGATGATTTAGAAGTGTAGAAGAAAGACCCAACAGATTTCAAAGTGGCCATTTGAACACAAATCAGTGAATTCTTTTTAACACCAAATGAGGGATTTATTATTTTTTTGGAAGCATACACTTAAATCTTAATCTCCTCACTACTCTTAGTAGCATGTTAGTTTTAATTTTCATCAGATAAAATGAAATTTGTTTTACTTAGTTTGATAAAACTAAGTCTTTTTTCCTAAAAATAAAATATTGTTCAGATGTGAAGCTTAAACTCCAAGAGACCGATAGGAGGGTTTTATCAATTTCACTGATCTGCTGCGGTGTGGTCGTTCTCTACAAGTTTTACCTCTTACAATTTTTCAATAAAAAAGCGACCAACTGGGAATAGTGTTCCAGACCAGGAAGCAAAAACACTTAAATCTGCTCATGTTATTTATTTCTTGATCTGATGAAACCACACTGGAAGTGTTTGAACCAGAGGCTTCAGGAGTAATGCTCTGCCACAGAAGGACGAGCAGGGAAGCGAGTTATCTCTGCACTGGACAGAAGCTGTGATAACACCTCAGAAGATGCAGAGAAACTACCAAACCTGTGAACCCAACTGCAACAATAATGAAAAAAAAAAAACAACCAGGTTTATCACTGTTCCTCTGGATGAAGAGCAGCTGGAGCAGATAAACTGTTGGGTTTGTTAAATGTTATACCTTTAATCCAAAGGAGAAAATATTTTGTCAGTGAAAATAGTAAAGCAAAAATAATTTACACTTTTGACCTCATAGACAAGTTGGTTAAGCTTATAATGCTCTTCTTCCAGTCATTCAGACAAAAAGAAGGTACATTTAAATGAAAAACAGTACAGATAAAAAAAAGTTTTTCAATGCTTTTTAAAAGTAACCACAGAACTGCTGAAACAAATCAGAGGGAAACTATTTCTCAGCTTTTCAGCCAGACTGAAATGCACCTGTCCCTTTTGGTTTAAGCCTTGTACAACCAACATCTTCTGAATCTGAATTACGAGCAGCAACGTATCGGGTTTAGAGCTCTGCAAGGGAGCACGAGTTATTTAAAACAACTTTATCCAAAGTAAAGAGTAGAAAACTGCTGTAATATTAGTCCGTTAGCCTCATTTAGTGAGAAGTCTGGCAGCAGTATTATGAATGGCAGAAAGGGGGAATTGATTAACTGTCCAGATTGGTAAATAAGGCATTACGGTAATCCAGACATAATCGTCAATATTAGATTATATGGAATGATAAAAATGGACATTTCAGAGCTAGAATATTTGTTATGTATTAAAAACAGAGTGAGCACCAGTCAGTCTTTCTATCCATCCATCCTCCTCCTCTACATTTCTGCAGCACTGCAGAAGACAAGTATGAGTGTATATTAAATATATGATATTAAAGGTATTTAAAGAAGCTCATTTCACAATGTTTATGAAAATAGGTTATCATAAAATAACTTTACCTCATCTAATATTAGATGAACATATTAAGTATCAAATTTTCAATTGCATTATAAAATTTCACATCTTGTACTTTTACTTATGAGACTAAAACCATCCAGTGTTCTTGTTTCACATTTCCAGCAGAAGAAAGGATTAATGTTGTAGCGGTTGTTCCAGACGGCAGTAAACTTCCTACCTGTGTTAGCAAGGTGTTGTTGTCTTTCAGAGAGTTGTTGATCATCTGCTGAGTCGTGTCCAGGTGAGTCAGCAGCTGGCCAAACTGCATGGCTGTCAGACACACAGTTGAGTGAAAAAGTGAAAGTCAAGAAAACTCAGTGTTTTCCTGTTAGAGAAAAACTGAAAGAGTATAGTGCACACATAAAACTGATGAGTTCCTCAGTGATTGCACACACTCATGTATTTGTCATATTGTTAATAAAATAAGTAGAAGTGGCTGCTTTTAGATATTTGACTAATGTTTGAAGTAACACATTACATGTCTCTTTGAAATTGGCAGGCTTGATTAAAACCCATCTTCTCTATCTTTACACTATATTTTTCAACAAGAACATGCAAAATGAACTCAATTGATCGCCTCAATATTAATGTCCTTTAGTTTTAATCATAAATCCCCTTTCTAGATACAATCTTGGGCATCTAAAAATGCTCTCATCCCACCCTAGCCAATAAAATTCCTTTTAACTCTCACGGGAGCCATTTCAAGGTATTTCTACCCTGAAATAAAATAAAATACAAAGGACAGAAAAAAGATTTTTTAACACTATTGCTGTAACTCATGTCAGGTTTGCCAGATATGCAACATTGTTACAATATTTGCAATATAAACCAGTACAGTACTTCAGTTGACTGTTCGGGGGTTTCTTTTCCTCAGGAAGTTGATTTTTGAGTTTGAAGGCCTTCTGTGTGTAAATGAATGAAAACAGTGACTGTCAGGTTGTCACTTTCTTAGGTCTTACCTTGCTCATGCAACTCCTTGACAGCAACAAGCCTCTGCACCACTTGAGGAACAGAGGTGGACACGGCATCCCACTTCTGCACCACATCATACAGCTGTGACACCTGACAAGATGGAAATGGAAATGGATGGACTGGTGGCTAATACCAATAATTAAGACAATCTGGTTTTTCTTTCTACAATTTCAAACTCTTAAGAAGGTCTGAAATTCAGTTTTCACAGACTGACAACTTTCACACCATCTCAGGTTCCAAAAAGATTAGATGTTCATATAACCAGAAAACTTGGATCCATTACCTGAACCTGCTGGTGATCACTGGCAATAGGACTTAGACCACCTGAGCATAAAACACTCATGAGGGCAACAGCGGAACCACCTTATCAATAAATGCCGTTAATACAAGACAGCCTCAGAATTCGGTGAGTCTACATTTGTTGTGCTTCCCCCACAAAAATGAAGATGTTATTTGGAATATGTTCAGTTTAACTCACAAGTAATAATGATTGGATTAATGTTGACTGCATTCTTAGTAATACTCATTTTGAAAGCTTAATTTTGATAATTCTGACATTTGTCGGTTTTCAAATGACTGTCGATGTTGGCTGGAATCTAAAAAAAAAATACAATCGCATGTTTTATCTGAAACACACAAATAAATCATCTAATAATTCTATTATTTTGGTCAGAAATGTTTTGTTCAATATGTGAATTATTTGGTTTATTTTACTAAATCTGTTCATTATTTACTGAATTTTAGGCTTCAAAATATTAATTTTTTCATCCATCCATTTTCTTACACCCTTGTTGGGAGGTGCTTGTGCCCATCTCCAGCCAACGTTCCGGGAGAGAGGTGGGGTACACCCTGTACAGCTCGCCAGACTGTCAAGTATTAACTTTTTTGTTCCGTTTTTTAGACAGTTAATAGTTTGTATAATGCCCAGTGCTTTAATGTTCACAATGTTTTATTGTCAAAAAAAAAGGTAATCTACCAGTCTCTCCAACATGTCAGTGATGCATGTTTACAGTTGAATCACTTCACACTACCAGACTTCATCCAGATCCAACTCAAAATAAAAATAAATACTTTTTTGGCAGTGACAGTTTGGTTCTTGCACACAGATGTCATCCCACCTCACCACAGATTTTTGTGCAGACTGACCACAACTGGTACAGCCAGGCAGATTTTTCTTGACTGGGAATTAAGGGTTAAATTCAGATTGAAATTTGAGTAGCGCTTCTCCAGCTTTAGTTGCCGATCATGAATCAGGAAGATCAATGCAACCTGGGCTGGGCAGTACCTTCTGCTCTGTTCTTAATATTTTATTAAGAACTTTGAACAATTTCAACATCTGAATGTGCTTTATGAACAGTTTTGTTCAATTTGTTTACTCTGTGATGAACAGATTTTTTGTTTTTAAACAGCTGATAAATTTTCAGTTTCTGACATAAAAGCATAAAATAATTAACCTATCCCTGGAAAATTTGAAAAGCAACAAGACCTGAAAACAACTTTACCATGCATTAGTAAAAGTAAAAGCATTACATTAAATAAAACCTGCTGCCACCTACTGGCCTCTAACATAAATCACTCTTAAACAGTTGACGGCTATGATAATGATACAGGTCAAACAGATCCGATGAGGAACAAACAGTTTGACAATAAAAATGCATGTGGCATCCCACGACGATGTCATAGGTGGTTTTATCAAACCACACACCAGCATTTTCTTTTGTCAAACAGAATAAACCATCTGTGCTTCACATGTAATTAATCCTTTAAAAATATTTTTAAAAATCACTTTACCGTCTCCCTGTCGTCAGTGAACCCCTTAAAAACATGGGGTGACATTGCAGTGGTTTTCATTCTTAGCTCTTAGTTTAGTTGTCAGAGCACTGGACTGGTCCAGTTATCCATGTCTCATAGATAACAGCTTCTTTAAATAAATAAAAAGTCTTCAGAGAAGAAGAAGAAGCCTGATTTCTTATGGCTGAATGAAGAAACTGATCCTTTGCTTTGATACAACCTGTCTTTACTCGGCACAGAGGCGTGATACATGTACCGGGATTACTAACCTTGTTTTGTGTTTCTGCATCTTCAATCGCTGCCTTGTTCTTGGCAATCTCATTCATCTTCCCAAGGACACTCTGGAAGATAGATTTAAATAACAAAAAAAAAATTATTCACAGAACTCAAGGGGACAATTTTCTTACAAGACAAGCAAAAGAGCTTTTTTTTTTAAGACAGCATATGATGTAAACATTCTTTGTAAGCATTTAAAACCGCCCACTAAAAGAAGTAGCACTATGATCAAAATGCTGCAGCCAGGACATTATTTCCCTGGAGCACAGAGGCCTTTGAAAGTGTTAAAAAGCAGAACGTAGAGAGAATTCAAACAGAAAACAACAACAAAGTTCTGCTAGCAGTTCACATCCAGCGAATCTCCATAAACATCACTAAACATTATGGAAATGATGTGATGGCAGTTTTTAGGAAGTCACAGTAGGCAAGTAGGCATGTTGGGCTCTCAACTAAATGCAAAATTCGGAAATCCAAAGACATTCCAGAAACTTCACACAATACAGAATTATTACAAACATCCTGATTTTTACTGGACTGATAAATTTGTATCGAAACTCAGTTGCTCTAGTTTCACAATGTAGGTACCTGCAGTCTTGCCTCTACTTGATCCAGTGTGGCCGAGTCCAGTGCGCTGACCCTTGCCTGCAGGAGCTCAATGGTGTCCTGAGGTGAAAGATGCACAAAAGTTACAAACACACCTGAGAATAGAATCCGGTGTTTCTCCCATTCTGTTGGCAGGGACTGGTGACCTCTTTAAGTGACCCAGTTTTTCTGCTACATGTCACAAACTCTGAATAACTTCTAAATAAAAGGACTTACCATCAAACTGGCTCCTTGTACACCAGCATTAAGAGGTCCCTACAATAAACAAACAGAAAATTAGAACTTCTTTCTTAAATTACAGTAGAAAATCAATGTGGTTCTATTTCACTTTATGGATAGTGATGCGTTTAGACAGGCATAAATATTTTGTTGTTTGATGATTAAAAGAGAAGCAAATGTACAGGCCAAGTATGAATGTGTGACAGAAACACTGAGGCGGATTTGTGTGTAAAATCCATCAGTGTGTACCTGCTTGTCTGACCCGGAGCCAACAGCGATCTCCAGCTGAGCCAGACGCTTCTCCAGTTCCGCCATCTACAGGGATGGAAAACAGGCGACACATGGTTGGAAGCGACATCAGCATGCCGCAAAGCACATTGCTGTGTTTTTGTATCCTCATCCAGTGTATTACCAACAAATATTCAGATACGTGAATGAAAACACAGCACATCAGGGAGCTCGTCTGACTAAAACATTCAGATTGCACTCATCAAGACGCTAGCCCCCACCGCCTTAACCTCGACGTTACCTTGGCAGACTCGTTGAATTTCTCCTGCTCTGGTCTGCTGTGCAACTCGTAGAGCACCACTCCATCTGGACCCTTTGTTGAAGAGGGTTTGCCATCTCCTGCGGAGCTGCTGCGACTGCCCTTCGCCGCCTCCAGCTGGGTGAGCAGACGCCTGCAGGCAGGAGGGAGAGGAAGACGCAGAATGATTATAGAGTCTGTTCAAAGCAGTTAATAGCAGTGCTGCTGTCTGTCTCTCTCCTCAATGCGTTTAAATTTCAGTTTGAAGGTGAAAATGTGTCCCTTTCCATTGTTTCAATCCCAAGATGCTTCTTGAAGCTTCAGCTTTCCCTGTTTATGCTGGATTTTGACATATTTCTCAGCATCTCCTGCCTCCCGTCTGGCTGCAATTCCCAGTGCAGGGTTCGTGGACTGTTGAGCCAACCCACATCAAGTGTCAAAAGCCATCAAAAGTATTATGCACAATTAATTGGTTACTCCAGTTGATGATTATTTCATCATGATTATATCCAAACTCTAAAATATGCCATTCACTAAAAACAGTAATTAAGCCAAAATGTCAAAAAAATAAAAAATTGTATACATTTTCCCTTTAAAATTGAAAACCTTTGTCAATATGTTCTACCTAAAACCTGAAGCGACATTTGAGCTTTTTAGCATTTGCATTTTCCACATGCTTTGACTTTTCCTAATTTCTATGCATGTTATATTTCAGTTTGAAACGAGTTGTTGCTTGGCAATTTTATGCCAGGCACTGATGTATTTATTTTTGCTTCTCTCTTCCACTAGGCTTTATTGTTTGACAAAACTCCAAACAGCTTAGAAGGCTATAATAATGTTTCACTAAACTTTAGGGGGAAGTTCAAAATGTTTTGCTTGAACTTTTTGACATTGCTACCAATGTTTTTCATGCATTTAATTTGGGTTTATGTGACAAATTAATGTAAATGTGAAGTGGAAGAAAAATAATACATTGTTTAAATGTAGGTAGGCATTCTGTTTGTTTTCCACCAGCTGTTCACATCAGTAAACTGAAACTTCTCCCCACTCTTAAAAAAAAAAAAAAGTTCAAGTTTGCCCAAACTGAATGGAGAGTGTCTGAATATCTCAACAGCATTCAGGTCTGGTATTTGACCAAAGTCATCCTAACACATGGATGTATTTTGATCAAAGTCATTCTCAGTCATGTAGCTGTGGCTGCATGTTTAGAAGTCCAGTCTCAAGTTTTTTAAAGCCTCCATAAGGTTTTCTTCCAGGATCGCCCTTTAGCTTGACCCGTTTACCTCAATGTCTCCAAACCCTTTTAATATGTCTGCTACAAGAAAAGCATGATGCTGTCGCCATCATTGATCCCAGTAATGCTGGAGTCTTCAGGGCTTTGCACAGTTTTGGTTTTTTACCATTTGGTTTTGTAATGTTGGAAAAACATATTTTAATCTCACCTAACGAGAACAACAGAATACATTTCACAGTAATTTAATTATTTACGGTTTCTTACCTAAAATCTCTAAAGTTTATGATCGTAACGACATTGCAACATTAGAAAAGGTTTAAAGACCAGTTTAGTAAGGCAGACTAAAATATCTCTTAATAAACCCCATGCATAAATAAGCTCAGAACACCACAAGTAAAATTGGCTCCAAATCTTAAAATTAAAATGCTCGTCTTTGACAGATTGTCTTTGCTGAATCTTAACGGTACACTTTGAACATTCATGACAGTTGTATGTAAATAAAGATACCACCTTGCCAGGCTGCTCTCATCTCACCTGGCAAGCGCTCCATCTGGATCGGCCAGGTTGATGTGTGCCTGCGGTCCCAGCAGCGAATCAAGATGGGCAGAAACCAGCTGCTGCTTCAGCTGCGCTGCCTGCTGAGCAAGAACCACCGGGGTGAGGCGCTCCTCTGCATTACTTTCCTTTGCAGTAGCCTAGAAAGTAAAATTGGTGGAGTATGTCAACGAACATAATTTTCATGTCAGGGTACATTCACAACAGAAAATGTTTTGCTGAGCTGATGGCTGTCTTATTGTATTTTGTGCTGCTGTTTTTGCTGAGGTCAAGGCCCTTATGATCAATTTCTGGAGAATGTCAACTCAAACTATGTGCTTGTTCTAAATTCAATTTAGCTTGAAATTGAGGTTACACTCCATAAGTACTCACTGCATAAACTTTCAAATATGATTAAATGGTCTGGAAATATTGGAAACGTGTAAAAAAAAAAAAAGCACACCATCTGGTGTGCATTTTTCAATTCAGTGTTTAAAACCAGATGAAATTTTTTCCCAGATTTTTTCAGGGTGAATGTGCTGCTAGCAGCCCACCTGGATGGTGTCCACCTCCTGAACGAGTTCCTGGATCTCGTTAACCAGGCGCTGATACTTTTGCTGGGGTGTTTCCTTCACACCGCTGCCCTCACCGAGCTAAAGCACAAAGAAAGAGAAAAACAAAAAAGTCTGAATATTAATGAAGTTCAACAGCTGAAAAAAAAAATTCTAAAAAAATTTAAAAAAATAAAATAAAATAAAAAAAAAATGGAAAAGTAATTATCCATTAAAAAAAATATACATTGATGCATTTCTACAGCACTTACGATTTCAAACTCTCCCGACTCATAACCCACTCTTCTGCTTCTACTGATTCTATCTGAGAAGTCTGTGAAAAAGACATTTGTCATAACACTTAAAAAAACAGTAAAAGTTGACTGATTGCTATAGACATCAATGCTCATTTATGGAAAGTGAAAAACATCTTTAATAAGATGTTAAGATGTTATAGTAATAAAATACTATATTATGGTTCACTTTTTTTTAAAGACTAAGTAGGCAAATAAATTGCATTGTTATAATAATGAAAGTTAATATTTGACAAAATTACTATTTTTTTTACTTTATTGGAGAAAAAAAAACTGTGTGTAGAGGCCCATTTCCATTCACAGAGAAAATAGTTTTAAAATCAAAAACTATTTTAAATTAGACACTTTATGTATCAGTAAAGTTGAAATGCTTCAGAAACTGAGTGACTCAAACAAGCTATTTGTTGAATACAAACTGACCAAGTCCTTTGGTGCTGATGTGTTTGTCTTTGAATTTGTCATAGGCTGCATTAGGGTTGACCACAATCCTCTCTACGCTGTCACTGCAAAGCTCCTCCTGATTAAAACAACAACAAAAAACACTCATTTAATCAAAAACATCATCCAGCAAAGCAGTCTGTTTAAACACATAGACAAGTATGATAAAGAGTGAATGCATAATTCATCAATGACCAAATACAAATTGAGGGAACTATATCATACAACACCCCCACGTGATTACGAATTTAAAGCAATTGTTTCAAAAGATTATTAAAATCTGCAAAGGTTTCTCATAATCTAGAAGATTCTCTGTAGGGATGAACCAGATGATTTAACCAAATTTAGAGGAGCAGGAAAGAGATTAATGAAAAAAACAATATTAATGTACCATTAATACTCACTTTATGCAACCAACTCTAAAATTATTTTACTTCTGGATTATCCGAGTGTCATAAAAAATGTTACATGAACCAAAAAGCCAGAAACACACCTGGAGCTACTTTATTCTCTCTAAATGACAACTGATTAATGATGTAAGGAAATTTAACAATTAAAAAAAAGATGATTGGTTATGGAGACCAAGACTGTAAACATAAATGATACACCACTGACACACAAATAAATGCCAATTCACACATAAGAGGACACCCAAAACAGTTGGTTCCAGAGATGTCAGGAGGGGGAGTAAGAGGAGGAGAGTGAGTTAGGCTCTTACCAGCTCCTTGGGTTTCCAAAGAGAGTTAAAGAAAATAAAATGGAAGAGCAGAGGGAGAGAGAAAAGTAGGGGGGGAGAGAGAGACAACACAGATTAATGTGGTTATCACATGCCATGCACACAACAGGAACACTTGGCCAGGGTTTCAGAAAGATAAGAAAGAAAGCAGTGTTCTGAGCGCTGCAGCCACGACCCTGGAGACACAGCTTCTCTGGAAAATGTAGGTCTCCAGTTCTTTCCCTCTTCACTCATTCAGGGTGATTAGATGACTTAACTCCAGAATTTCTATTCTCTCCAATAATATTCATCAGAAAGAACTCCACTATTTTCCTGAACAGTAAATAAGAAAACTCTGAATACTGTGTAGAGGTTAACTGTTTGAACTGATTATTGCTGACTGTATTCCATATGATAAACTTTAAACTTTAGAATAAAAATGGTATTTATAGTAGGTATAGTCAGTTACTAATTATTAAGATAAAGGTTTAAAAACTGCTAAAATGTTCTCATATTGCCATTTCTATATTAAAGTCTATTTTCTGAGAAGCCAAAAGCGTAAGCAGAGTGTTCTCTGACTGTATTGTACATATAATCTCTGAGGGGTTCCCTTCACCTACCTGCTGCTGCCCACTGCCAATCAGCAGGCCAAAATAAGTACTGTACTTTTTCCTAATTTGCATAAAAAGACAAATTCAGCTTTATAAACTATTTCTGGTAATAACAAAACATATGACAGTCATGGTGTTGAAACCTTAACTAGTCAACCTAAAATGAACAGTTTATAGCTACAGTATTAAAGCTAAGAGTGAAACAGCTGTTCAGTAGCTGACTTTAGGCTTGGTAAATGAGTAGATAGCTCAATCAGATGTAGGCACTTCCAACACTAAATGACAAAATGTTATATCTTTGTGTGAAATAAGTAAATAAAAACTGCTGAAAATACATTTGTTAATTTAATTTAGTTTTTCAATCAAACTCAAAATGAATACAGAGTATAGCTAAAATTATGACATTTGTAATACTGTTTGATTTTAGCAGCAGCAGCAATAATTATGTTGAGTTAATGTTTTTTTTTTTAAATAATATTTATTTTACACTGTCATGTCAATATCCTGAAGTGTGTTCCGCAGTAATCTGAGAGTGGTCCGTGCCCAAATTAAGTTTGAAAACCCAGAAATATTCCTGCTGCCCAGTGGCTGAATTAATCCAAAATAATAATAAAAAAAGCATACTAATAGCTATAATCCCAGTTACAAACCTGATGCATCTAATACCAGATCAAAATAATGATCTTTTGCACCCCTAAATGATGTAAAACACACTGGCCAAAAAGACATTTTGGAGTAACTAATCAGTCATACTCCAGAAAATGGGGACTGGAAAAAAATAAGCTTGTGGTACTGTGGCAAGGGAGAAAGTCTAGCTGAATGCCAAAGCCATAACCAAAGCTTATTTTTTATGATTGTATTTATAAAACATGAAAGAGGTGTAGGTAACAAGCAAACATTTTACTTCAGGATTTTCTTCCATTTATAGATTTCATGGACAGTTAAAAGGATCATTTGCATTTAATTTCACAGTGCAGGTAAGTTTCTACCACATACAACCTGTTAATTAGGACAGGCAATGAGCCAGCAAGCAGAAGAGCTCCTTAGAAAATTCAGTTAGTCAAGAACATAAAAGTTAGCAGAGAAGCAAGTTGTTAAAGCATGAAGACAGGTTAAACAACAAAATACAAGTCTTTTTCACACACATTCATGCCCATATCCACATCAATCAACACTTCTTTAGACCCTTTGGCATCATTATGGCCATAATAAGATTTAAACATTTTTTTAAAAAAAATCAGGAATCAGCTTCTACCACTTTAAAACAATTATAAATGAATTACATAGTAGCAGAGGAACAATGCTATAAGCCCAGTTCTCATCTCAATCAGTGCTCAAAGAAGAATTTGATAGATCATTAATGAAGAAAACCCAACATGCATTAAGCTCACAGAGAAATCTTACTTGTACACACTACGGTCCCAGGAGGGATGAAGAGGGGTCACAACAGGGACAAGAGAACAGGGAGAATAAATGTGGCAACACGGAAAAGCAAATGCCAATTAAGATTTGCTTGGCTGACCTATCAACATTAGACAATTAAAAAAAAAAAAAAGAATAAAAATTAAAGCAGCACCAGTCAGTTGACTGGTACACAGAAAGTCAAAACCAGTAACTTTTTTTAACTGGGAATTTAGATAAAAAAAACAACAACAACAACAAAAAAAAAAGAGAACACCACAGAACATTTTTCGTAAAGTCACAAGATAATCATCATGGTATGATTATGAACAGCGAGACTTCAGGGGGAAATTTTTGTCTCTTGGAAATGTATTTCTAACTTTCAGTGCAGATGTGGAGAATGTATTTATTATTTAGAGGGAAAAAAAAAACATACACCAAATCGGGATTTTTCCCCCCTAAACTTATTACAATACAACTAAAGCACCAACAGAGGATCGGTAAAGTAATCTTAACAGTTCAGTTTTTATAAAGATAGTAACCGTGGCTAAACATGTAGAAGTTGTGCTTCATGACAAAAATTACAACTGGACAGCGGAGTGCAATCCTACACAAACTAGTTGCTAGAAATTGAATTTCAGTTGAAAAATCAAGTAACTGTTAATAGATAGTTGATGTCAAACAGACCATAATGATCTAGATAACAATGAAGGAACCAACTGTCCGTTAGAGGAGGGCTAAACGTTAGTTAGCTTATTAGTGTTAGCAGCAGGCTACTCGGTAATAAAGCCATACATTAGTACAGAAAGATCACCTACCGATTCAAACTGAGCCTGGTCGTCCTCTGGAAGGTCGCCAGTCTCGTACACGTCTGGTTCGTTAAAAGCCTACAGAAACAAAATGCGATAAATGCTGTTATTTCGTTGGTTTGTTTTGTATTAGCCTGGCCAACGCCCCGGGTGCACTGAGAAACATCAAAATGCTAAGTCTAACAATTCTGTATGTTTGCATCATATGGCATTATCTTAGTTGCACGTCTGCTATTGAGACGCAACACTATCTGCTATTCAGTGTGGATTGTTCGCAGACAATAAGAAGATAAAAGGTTCAGCAGCAGAGCTGTTAGCTAGCAGTTCCACCTTTCAGTCTGAATATGTGTTTGTTAGCGTTAGCAACTTACAATTCCTGGTAAATTTGCGTATTTAGGATCAGCCATTGTCAACGGGAAGAACAAAAACACAACAAAATGTAACAGCGGCCTCTAAAACCGTTCAGGCAATCGATTCGCTGAGTGGGATTATATTAAAAGCTAGCGATGGATGAGCCAGCAGTATCTCAGCCGGCGGAGCGGTGCAAGCTGATGTGGTCACTGGCTTGATTTGGCAGCGTGTCTGCTCGATTTATTTCACTCGGTCTTACATGGGCGGTGCAGTTAACGCTATGTCAATGGGAAAGCGGCAAGCGTCTTATTAAAAACAGTAAAACAAGCACACCTCAGCCGTCACGCGTCATTCCGCGTACATTTCGCCAACCAATATGTTTTAAGGACACTTTTTCTCTAATCTGTTTTCTTAAAATGTATCAATAAACAAGGCATATTAATTTATGAGAGATATGAAATTTAACTAATTATTTTAGTTTTTTCACTTCTTGAATATTGTTACTTGACCAAAGACAAGCCTACTTATGAGACACATGAGGGCGCCAAAAGTACGACTGAAAGAAAATAGTGAAACGAGTGAATGCATTGATAGTGAAAACAGTTTACTTTCCAAAACATTCTTGTTATTAACGTCATAGTGTTGTGGAGCTCTTGTATAACTTTTATGAATGTATTTATATAAGTTTTTTCTAGATTGAAATTGATTTTGTACGTTTGCAGTACAAACTTTGTGTCAGAGTTTGTAGTAAAATGTTTAAATACATCAAATGTGTCAGAAACGTAATTTTTTTAAAGACAAATTTGCTGTTGTTACAATTCAGTTATATGTTTTTTGTTTTTTTTTCAGATATGTTTATATTAAATGTCTTACTGATTTACTTGATGGTAAAATAAACAAGATCTTAATAAAACATTAAGACGACACAAGAGGACAAAGATCATAAAAGAAAAAAAAGGGGGCAATTTCTATATAATTCTAAAAATTGTCTATTTAAATTGAGACATTTATAAATGGCATTGTGTATAGACAAACAGTTTCTTTTCACTGGTCCTCAACTTGAATTGCTAGAGTTTTTTTCTCAGTGGATTAGGAACATTAGGAACACCAGATAGAGACCAGCTGGTGAGACTGGGGAGATCCAGCTCCAGTATAATCTGAACAGGTGTTCTCTAGGCGTGTGTGCTTTCTCCACTATTCTTATCCTGCAACAGTGATGCTTGATGACTGCATCTTCTCACATGCTTCTTCAGAGCTTCCTCTGTTTGCAGATGACATGAGTATACCAGCCTGATATTTAATTGAGATTAATTTGAATCCAGGACAGCTGGCCAAATGGTAACAGCTTGTAGCTTAACACCAAAAACACAGTGGCTGAACTTTAGGAGATTGTCAGTTGTACGCTTATTTTGAACAGCACTTTGAATATTAGGAAATCCATAATCGTTTACCATGTATGAAGCGGATAACCTACATAAATTCACTGTTCTTTGTCTACCAACTGAGGATGTTTAACCTGAAGATTCTGATTCAATTCTGTTCAACAATCATTGTGACTGTACATTTGTATAACTGTCTGGTTTGGTTTGGGTACTATATCTGACAGAGTGATACAATGAACACACTGGACTCCTGAAAACTGCTCCCACTTATCCCTATTCATTATTTTTTGCAGACAAGGAAAAGAGCAAGACAATAACTCATCCTTAACCCCCTTAAACCCAGGAGATGGGCTATTTGAGCTGCAACTTGCTTAGAAGGCTTTAGACAGCTGTGAACTGAAAAATAAAAGGGAAAAAGCAACTTTATGGGTCAAGCAACTTCACAAACAATTAATCAATGCAAGTAATAAATGTAATAAATGTGTATTACAAAATGTGTATTTTTTTTTCCAGTAAGGATATTGTTTCATTGGTTATATTTTATTTCCAGTACTTTTCAATAACTGTGCAACTGAATACTAAGACATGTGAACCCAGATATTTACATACACTGTGTAAAGAACACATTATATTTTTTTCTCATGCACTGTCTGATAATATCTCAGACCGACCTTTTGCTATCTTGGATCAGTTAGCTTTAACAAAATGCCAGAATAATGAAAAAGAACTATTACTGAGAAAGTGGGAATATGTGTGACTTATTCTTTACTTTGTAAGCATTGCGTTAAAACTGTATGATTAGGACCAAATGTCTTACTAAAGTCTTTCACCTTAGGTTGCTGGAATTGTAGTACATTCATTTTGGCAGAAATTTTATAACTTATTCAAGTTTACAATAATCAACCATTAATCTTTGAGTTGTTATCTTAAGATATGGCACTATATTTCTTCATAAAGTTATTTTCTGTAAAGTGAACCAGTTTGTCATGCAAAACACCTTCACATGATATTGGATATTGCCAGCCAAAACATTTGTTCTAAAGATTGAAGTATCTCCCTTTCCCTGCTTTTTCTCTTCCTAATTAAATAATGGCCAGAATGACATTATTTAATGACATTTTTTTAGAAAACTAAAAAAAAATTGTTTTTTGAGTGCGAAGGCCCTTTCTCCAGTAATTAAGGAATGTAATGTGCGCATTTGCAAATTTATAATCTGTTTCTCTTGCTGTTTTTTACAGTAATCGCTTCTTCCTCTGTGAGTCGCCTTTCACCTCATGCTGACACCAAAGTCTTTTCACTGTGAATAATGACACTGTCTCACCAGGCTGGAGAGATGGATGGACAGATGAATGGTTGGGTTGATGGATCTCACACTAGGAAGCAGCATGTTTGAAGTGTTGCTTTAAACTACATCTGCCTCAATTTATTTTGATGGTTGACAATTAACCTATAAAGCTAAAGCATCTTAGCTTTTCACAAATTGTTTAAACACACAATCTTAGTGTATGTAGGTTTAATCTTTTCGAAGACTACATATAAAGTTATGACTTCAATCGCATCAGACTTTGTTTATTCATGAATGCTATTTGGACAAAATCTGAAGACATAAACAATCAAACAAATGCCTCCCCTATTACATAAAAATTATTCGATTGTGGAAATTCCATTTTTAGTAAATAAAAACATCATAATACAAATAGCACAATGCTTTATACTAAAGAAAAGCATTGCCATGTCTATGATTTTGTCTCACATTGCCAAATGAAGGAAGAAAGCCTTCATTTATTTTAAAATGAAGGATTTTAAAAGAAACTATAGATCCATACCCCTTCGCTGCAGATAAGGAAGGTTAGAAAATTTGTGCAAATAAGTTCCTTTTTAGTAAAACATTTGAGCAGCACCCAAACTATTACACTGTTTGAATGTAGCAGAAGCACACAAACTTTTTTTTTTTTTGCATGAGACAGTTGCGAGTTAGCCAGAAGGATGGAGCCGCTGTGTGCTCCTCCGCTCTGCTCAGTGATGTTGATGAGGGAGGATGTGAGTCGCTACTCCACCACGCCCCGCCCCCATTGAGAAGGCAGTGATGCAAGGCATGTCTCTGAGAAGCCTGCAACCCGTCCAGATAGACGGGATCACTTTGGACTACACTCCTCATTTATTGGTCCCCTATATGTTCTCCGCCGCTCGGCTGCACGGATTAGTTTGAGGGGGTTTTAAAGCTGAAAATTACTCCCAAACAGCTTGCTTTCTGCTTTTTGTTTTATACTTATTTAATCATTTCTGGATCTAAAAAGTCGTAGTTCTGTATTCCCTCCAAATGCTTCGCTTGTCAGACTCGCTTTGCATGTGGACATAAGGCAGTGGGTTCAGTCAGGTGCTTCAACACAGGGGATCTTATTTAGGATTTTTTTTTAAATTCCTTTCCTTGTCCTGGACGCTCGTCCTTTATTTTTCCATTCACGATGGCTGATTCCAACGCTGAATGCAATATCAAGGTGTTGTGTCGATTCCGCCCGCTGAACCAGTCCGAAATTACCCGCGGAGATAAGTTCATTCCAATATTTCAAGGGGAAGACACTGTCATCTTTGGGGTAAGTTGTTTATCTCCTCTGTTGACACCCTTGCATGCACTCGAGTGATGTTGGGGGTTAAACTTATTCATTTCACAATCATATCCGATCCTGACCAGACTGCTGACTTGGAGCTTAAAGGCTTGATGCAGGGATCAAACTATGCATAGCCTCCATCAATACTATTGGTAATACTATTAGTATTCTGCAGCATAATGTGCTGCCGCTATTTGAGGGGCGATAAAGCCAAAAAAAAAAGAAAAGAAAAAAGAACAAAAATGCAACGTGCATGTTTTTTGGAGTAAAATATCAATTGCTTTGAAATAATACAGCACTTGATTGTGTTAAAGATGAATTTTGTGTCTAAAGGTTTTAACTTTAGGGTTTGTCTGATACAAAAAATGATCAATATCATCATCAACTCTTAAAATATTACCCTGCCTTTTTGTTTCAACTTAGGCGTGTTTGCTTGATATTGATCTGGTGGATTTTCTTGTCACCTCCAGAGATGGTCTTCGTATTAAAGCCTCCTGTGGAAGCCCTTCCTTTTGCCTCATCTGACACACAACTAAATGCTACAGTCCATTTACCTAAGAAAACCCAATCTGAAAAAAGCAACAAAAAAAAAAAAAAAAAAACATATAATGTTTTATAAGCATTAAAAAAGAAAAATACTAAGCAGATACTAATTGATCTAGATCAGTGTTTACCAATCCTGGTCCTCAGGGACCACTACCCTGCATGTTTTTGGATTCTGCAGCACTTGGTGGCATGGAGAGGAGGTCATGTAATCATTAGAATCAGGTGTTCTGGAACAAAGATTCATCTAAAACATGCAGGGCAGCGGTCCCTGTGGACCGGCATTGAGAAACACTGAATGGATAGATTGATTTTCAGCATCCGTAATCATTGTAATGTAATCCAGCCCTTGTTTGACTAGTCTGCACATCGTGCTTTCTCTGCTTATCTGATGCTTATCTGATGCTTTAGTGATCTTAATGCCAATAAAATATTCTCTATTATGTTTTCTTCTTTTCAAAAAAGAAAAGAAGAAAACATAAATCGAATTGAAAAAAAAAAAATCTCTGGTCGGTATATAACAATCAAGTTCAGATTTAACCAATCTAACCAAATTCAGTGTAGACTCGCTAAAACACTCAAAAATAATAATTCAATTTAGCAGAGAATCATAAGTTGGTCACAGGCATCATTGGCCACCTGTTGGATATGGCAATATTTTGTGCACATGTGCACACCAAGGGGAGGACCCACTCCTATTGACTGAACATGCACATAATAAACAGAAACCTTGTCTGTTCAGGGCACCACTGATAAATAACTGATAAATAACTGTATTTACCTTAGACAGAAAAAAATATATTGCTCATATCAAACTCCACTGCTTGTGCCCTTTCTTGGATAATTAATCAGAAAGGTATTGATTTCTTTGGTTATGAATGTTACCAGCTGCCTGCTGATGATGTTTTAGGTGAGATGCAGATGGCTTTGCTTTCAGAGAAACTCAAATTGCTCATAATCCCTAATGGTGGTTATTAGTGATTATGCGCTGTAATTGAAGTGAACCAATCCCTAATAAGTTTATTAATATACACCTTAGGCTAAGGTTAAAAATGTGGTCAACATTCCACACCAGGTGACATTTAGAAAAAAAATTATTGAATCATGGATAAATATGAGAATCATCTAAATGGATCTGAGGGTAATATTTAAGCACATAGTACAGAAATAAATGCATTTGTCAGTTTCCAGTAAAATACATGTATAGATATGGCCAAATATGCAAATCTATGAATTAATTTCACACTGAATGCAGTGTGCAGTGTGAGAGCACCTGCTCTCTACTACAAAGAAAACACAAATACACACACACACACACGCAGAGAGGAAGATAATGAAAGAAAACTGAACCCTTCAAGCCTTAGGGGTTGACTTGTGGTGATGACTAGGACAGCAGAAAATCCCTCTCGGCCCACTCTTGTTTTCATGCACACATCTATACCAACACACACTGAAATGCGCTGCAGGTTTGTGGGGGAAATGGTCCTGCATGGCTGACTATTTTGGTTGTAGCTACAGAATGTTTCCAGCAGACTGAACTATTTCTCTGCTTATGCATAAAGCATAACATTATTAAGAAGATTAGTAGTTTAAAATCAAGAATCCCCACATCAGTCTTGGCACCTGAGTTTGAACAACTCTGAAGATGTTAGAGAGGTCAGTCCTAATAGTTAGTCTTGTGAAATATGAATCAGATATGTCATCACATTAAAGATGTATATTTCAGAGAATAAGATAAAAATAAGTTTATGGAAATCAGTCAGGCTATGAACACCTCTACTTGCACACTGACTGACTGAGTTTGACATGGTCTATATGAGAATAAAGAATAATATTAGCCAGTCAACAGTGAGCTGTCACTAAAACAAATCCGCTTTTGTTCCCTGTCAGTAAGTTTGGCAGCAGAAGGCTACAAAACAATAAAAACAATAACCTACAGGAACACAAGCAGATATTTCTGATGCATTCTAAGTCATTTTATCTTCTAACCGGCACTCGGTTTTCCTCCGTTCAGACGAATGTAATCATAGCAAGGCAAGTGGAGTTTTCATCTTTCTGAATGCAATTACTTCCAAGATGTGCTCTGTGTATAGGAGGTTATAGACACGTAAATCCATTTACGGTTTGCATTTTTCAATTTGGATTGTTTGTCTAGTACAAGGAAGTTGTGAATGAATATGTCAAGTTTGATGAGTATTTGTAACACCAAGCCAATAGGAAACAAGTGAATGCAAACATTGTGAAGGTTGATGAAAACAGATCAGTTCTGGGCGGTCCTAATGACCCATCTTCAACCTAATGGTTGAAGATGTTTTCTTTCAGAACTTGACAGTGTACAGCGACAGTGACCTTAGCTTGTGATTGATGGGTTGACTACTCTCTCATGGCAGGCTGGAGAAAACTTCAAGATATTAAAAATTATAGAAAATAGTTTGCTGTTGTCCTTTGACTTCTTTGTCGAAGGACAAAGAATAGAGTGCATCGTAAATACAAAGTGAAAACAAATGGCTGTTTTTGTTTTTTGTGACAGGAAATGGTCATTTAATTAGGCAACAGAAAAGCAGCTTTCTTTTAGGTTGATTGTATGCAGCAACAAGTGGGGCAAGGGAAATTTCAGGCAGAAAAACAAATCTTTTTCTGTCTCTCTACTTTCTTATTGAAGAATGGTATGAGAAAAACATTTATTATTTTTTTGCCTTTTTGAAACCTTGGTACAGTGAACTCTTGCCTATTCATGGTTCAGTATTTGCAGATTTTATTGTGGACTGTAACTCCAAATTATTGAAAGAACATTCACCTATTTGAAGGTAAATCCTGCTTTGGAAGCTGAAATTCAAAGATGCAATTGTACTTAACATGCTATTGCACGGTGTTTCTAAAGCAACCCAGGGGTGACATTTATTTTCCTTGAAGTTGACTGGTTGTAATCTCAAGTCCTAAGATAGATATACAAGTGCCAATACCATTTCTACTGGGGATGCTACTACATATTAAGGTGGTAAAATTGTTTATTATATCATGTAATATCTCTTATAAGTGACGATAGACACAGAGTAAGTATTTTATACCTTATTTGCACCAAGTCACATTATTCCCCTTGTAAATCATCCATCTAGAAGTGATACACCGAGGACTTGTTTGTTCCTGGACTCAACCTGAAATAAACAGTTGTTTTGGAAGTTTTGCTGCTGTTTGCTGCACTGAACTGTGCATTACTGCTCTTGCTATTGTCCTCTCTGTGCATGGAAGCAAATTAACCTAGTCCCTGTCAGTTCTTTTTTGTCACAGTTCCAGTTGTTGGATTTTTTTTTATGTTGCTCTGTCTGCGTGGGTGAGCCAGTGAGAAGCCAGTTTCTCGTTACCACTTGAAGATTTATGAAGATTTCAACAAATATGGCATTTCTCTATGGGATGGTCTCTCATCTTTCTTATTTTGAAGAGTGATTAAGCAATATTTCTTAGTGTGACATCATAGTTACACCCTAAGAAAACCACACAACATGACAAGTACATGCTATAAATTCAAAAAGGAAGGGGTAGTGCCTAATAAATTATTTGCATTACGTTGCAATTGCAGTTTTGTTACTACTTGATAAAGACTTTCAGAGATGTGTGATCTGCGAGTCATATTTAAGCTCAGAAAAAAACTCACACTTTCTCACAAATTTTATTGATGTCTATGTTTTGCCCCAAATTTAATGTAAACTTGTACATAATTTATGAAAGTTTGTGCTGCAACTTTCAGGACATATTATAAAACCAATTTTGTTTATCCATTTATGATTTTGTGGACTTTTTTTTATCAGAATATTGAGTCTAAAGATGTTCATAATACATTTGTATACAAAACTGGTAAGCAGAAAACTGATTATTTTAAAAAGAGTGTTACTAAATCCAGATATTGGAATGAAGAAATAATTTTCATTTTATATAAATCTGTATTTAACATAAAACTTGGATTGTAACCTTAATGGTAGCAGCTCCACCTACGAGAGAACCAGATTATGTTAACATGTCCTGAAATAAAATTCTGTTTTAAATTAGAATTTATTCTACTAAGTTTAAATCCTGTTTCATTTAAGCAGTAGTTAAGAGGATCCTTTGAAGCACATTGTGTTCAAACTCCTATTTTCATTTGTGAAGATTTTTTGTATCATACGTTACATAAGCCTGCTGAGGTTTTAACTGATTTAATGTTTTGAGTCTATTTGCACCCAGCAGATGTGAAGTAACATTAGCATTCAGTGTGAAATTCTGTAGATCTGAACACCTGATGGGTTTACAGAGGCTTCTCATGTCTTTTTTTAGCATTTGTCTTACTGAACATCTGTGTCTTTTTGCTGTTTGTTGATGTATAGATAAATGTCATGTTCAGGACTTTATGTGACTCTTAATTATGCTGTCTGGTTCATTAAAGCTGCAGATCGCAACATGTCAGCGTT